TATTACTCAATGTTATATGTCTCGGTTGCACAGTAAACATGTGATTGTATATAATGAAATGGAAATAAAAAAAGATTTGTACAGATAAACTTAACGCAATTGAAAACATTGATACAAGCCTTCTAGCTGTTGCAACTGAAAGTCAGCTGCTCCCAAATTCAACTGCTCGTATCCACTGGGAAACAGGGTGGGAGGTTAAATGGATCCCTGGTATGATCCAACAGGTCTCCTCTTGACTCGTGATATGCTACTTCTCTACTGCAAAAGACTCCATATATCTCCAGAAATAGTTTTTCAACCACGCTTCCTTCCATGCGGCATGAAATGATACAGCCCTAGAAAGCTTTGGTACCACGTTCCATTGAATTTAGGTTTTCAAACAAATTATCTCTATTCTCAGGATTCAGGTTTTTAAAAGATTGCAAAACATTTGATTTCCCATAAATAAAACACAATATATACAATTAGAATAATACAATGTAAAATTATAATAATATAATAAATAACAATTATAATAAAATAATAAATAAAACTATAATAATGTAATAAATACAATAATAATAATGTAATAAATGCAATTATAATAATATAATAAATATAACTACAATAATACTATAAATACAATGAATAAAAACTCGCATATATAATAATTTGTTAAAAATGCTAAAAATTACTGTACAATTTAAATTTAAAAATACAATTTCATCTTTGAAGTTATACAGTTACATGCACCAAATGGGAAGAGAAAGGGAAGGGCATAGAGAAAAAAACAAGAGAACATTAGATTTAATTTATTTTATTTAAACAGTTTAATTTTAAAAAGCCTTGAACAATTAAACAAACTAAACAACAAAACATTCTGCAAAGCAGGGATTTCCCAATGGACATGTGGGAACAGAAGATTGTTCTGTTTGTACCATTTTTTCTGGCCTGCAAATTATTGCTTTTAGGGACTTTGAAGTGATCAAAAGCTTTCTTTAATGGTTGCAGCAGATGCAGCCTTCCATTGTTGCATCAAATAAATACCCCTTTCAATTTTGCTGCAGTAATCAGCAAGTTCTGAACGTTTTTCATGGTGCCTTCAAGTTGACCTCTGGCCACTGCCCTGAAGTTTCTTTGGGCAAGATTTTTTCAAAGTGGTTTGCCATTACTCCTTCCTAAGATTGAGGGGGAGTGACTGGCCCAATGCCATGCAGCTGGCTTTCTTCCTAAGGCAGGGAACAAACCACATGGGCTCCTAGTTTCCAGCTTGACGCTAGAAGCTCTGCACCAAACTAAAATCTTTATTTTTAATTGCATAAGGTCACCTGCGAAGAGAAACGACCTCAAATCCTTTGGACAATATGCATGCTGGAAAACCATCAAAATGCTTACAGAATAAAGAGAGGGTCAAAAGGACTTCTTGTTCCCATGTTATGAAACAACAACCAAAACACCTCCTTTGCAGCTGGCCTTGTTTGTTTTTGATCCTGTCAAGGCCAAGGAGAGCAAGCAAACCCAAAAGGTGAGAAACAAGGCCATGTAGCTTTTCAGAAGTTGATTAGGTGGTTTTGCTTCGCAAGCAAGCTATGCCAAATCAGCTCCCATATCTCAGATCCTTGGTCCTCCTTTCACGACTGGTGGGAGCATCAGCAGGGATAATTGTTGAACAATTTGATCTT